GGGGGGGGGTCCCTCCTAACATTCCTACCAGACCTAAAGTGTCTGGTATGAATTGGGGGGAAACCTCACGCTTAATTTCGGACCCGAATCCGGAAAAAAAAAAAGGCAAAATCTGAATCAAAATGAAACTAAACAATTTTTTTGCTGGTTCACATGTCTAACTTCTTAAAGGAGAACTATGGGGTTAAGGCTTTTCCCCATAGTTCTCCTTAGGGTAACGGGAGGACACAAACTAGCGTCCTCCTGTCACCCTAGGCTCAGTATACCGCGAGCTGTAGCCCCTCCCCTGTCACGGCAGAGAGCCGTGACAGGATCGAGAGGCGAGCGAACCGGGCATGTGTTCGCTCACCTTCCGATCTACTGAGCCGACCTGTGACAGTCTCATTGTCACAGGTCGGCTAGAACTATGAGGTGAGTGAAAAGCACTCACCTCATAGTTCTCCTTTAAGGCTGTACAGGCTTTTAGGGAAATTTTGGGTACCATAGTTTTTAGCTGCTTTATGGCCGCAAGTAATTTTACAGGCTGGACATTTTTGGTATTTCTTTACTCAACACAACGTCTTCTTTTATATTTTATTTTAAAAAATGGGTGTTAGATTGTGTTTGTGTGCACTAAAATTAATTTGAATGCATTACTTATTAAAAGAGAACTATGGGGTCAGTGTTTTTCCCCATAGTTCTCCTTAGGGTAACGGGAGGACACAAACTAGCGATTCGGAGCGTGGAGAGGGGAATCCAGCTCAGGGCTCTCTGCCGTGACAGGATCGAGAGGCGAGCGAACCGGGCATGTGTTCGCTCACCTCCCGATCTACTGAGCCGACCTGTGACAGTCTCATTGTCACAGGTCGGCTAGAACTATGAGGTGAGTGAAAAGCACTCACCTCATAGTTCTCCTTCAATTATTTTCTTTAGTAAACAGTTGCCTAATATGGTGTGGCATAAAATATTGCAACACCAATCATTTTATTCTGCAGGGTCTCACCTAATACAAGGCATTCTGTGATTGGAGGAGGAGAGAAGGGGGCGGGATGTGACATTATCTTATCTTCAATCACAGAATGCCTTGTATCCTTTGAAAAACATATGAGGCATTTTGTGAATGGGCAAGTAGTGAGGAGAAGCGGGTGATGAGACCTGAGCAGTTTACTGCTTGAGTTGCATCTCTCCCTCTCCGCAGTGCCCAGAAGATCGGCATTATGTGCAAGAGATGGCAAGCTGCAAGGTGAGATTTGTATACTTTGTAACCGCCCTCTGCACATAACACCCAGCTTTTCAGTGATAATTTACACTCCCAGTGCACTGTGTAAATTATCATTTTATTCTGGAGCTATCACTTTTACATGGATGCTGCGTCTTGATGTTTATAAGTTTCAGCTTCCTGTAGAATCAGCCTGTCCCCTGAGCACTGGCCCTGATATCCTGTTGTAGGGTGGCTCCTTTCCCTTGCAAGGTCCTATGGAGCCACTCTTGTGTGTGCTAGTAAATTGTGTGTCTCCACAAACATACAGGCACAGCAATGCAAGCCACTTTCCTTCTCCTTGCTCCACCATCATTCCTGCTGCAAGCTAGAAGCTGCTGGAAACTGTGCTGTCCCTTGTGATCTTGTACTGGACAGGAAGTTTAGAGAAGCGGAGCTGAGAGAGTTGTTCAGAAACATGATGAATGTAAATGCTTGGGTAAAAATGTAAAGAAATACTTTTCTGGATATTGTATATTTGTTTGATCTGGACTCATTATTAAAAAAAGGTCCACACTTTTAACTACTTTATAGAAAATATGTAAACTGAACAGGAGCTAAACCCTCCATCACTTTCCCCCTGCAATGCAGAGTCCATGAGCTCCATCACCAGCATCTTCTCCACAACTTTTTCTGGGTTCGAAGTCTTTGGCCATCTCGATTGGCCGGGTCGGGAAGTTGTAACGGGATGACATAACTCCCACGCATGCACAGTTCAGTATACATTGCAAAGCATCTTGCGAAGAGGAAGGTAAGAAGTCATAGACATAGAGGGGAATTGATCAAAATGAGCAGAGAAATTCTGGAGCAGGTGTGCATGGCAACCAATCAGCTTCTATCTTTCATGTTTTAATCTTAACTGAACAAACTGAAGAGAGAAGTTGATTGGTTGACCCCCCCTCCCCCATAGTATGTCCCTTCTACAATAAATCAATAAATACAATAAATCATAACTCCATTTTTCATTTGAAGCTGATAAATTCCCAGAAACAAGGATAATTCTAAGGACAAAAATGTCTAGGATCTACAAGTGTCGGTAGAAAGCAGGTGCAGCTGACTACCATTGTTCCCAGATCCTCCCTGTATATCCTTACCTGTACGATCTCCCTTCTCCCTGACTGCAGAAAATACGAATACACATAGATAATCCCAGGACCAGGACCGATGGACAGGACGCTCAGGTTGCTATAGGAACAGAACCTGACGTCATCTATATCCAAACAACTCGGACAGAGCGAAGGCTCACGTTTCCCCAAATGTCTTCGTTTTGGTCTACAAAAACATGGCCTAGAGCTGATTTTTTTTATTGAACTGTTTAAGATGTATAGACACTGAAACTTGAGAACAAACCATGGCTAAGAAATGTGTGTATGCTGCCAGTCTTTTATTTTTCAAATATGTTCTACAGACTTCTCGCTGATGGCTTCGCCAACATGACTGCGGCACTGCAGACATTGAAGCTAGAAATCTCTCCCTCTAGTGCTGTGAGCGGAGCGTACAGGTCACGTTACGATCTGACGTCATCGCGTTGACTAAGACGTGTGGTGGGGACGTTCTCCGGTGTTTGGTCGTTCTCGGTTGGTTTTTGGGGTGTGCAGGGCGGAGGAGTCATGGCGTCCACGGCGGCGGGGAAGCAGCGAATTCCTAAAGTGGCCAAGGTGAGTCCAGGGGAAGCTGTGATGGTGCCAGCTCCTCACATGGGCCCTTTCATAACTGGAAACTTTTTTTTAATGTTTACACATTGACCTTCCAGTTTTCTACCATTTGTTCCTTCTCTGAGGGTCCTCAGTGAATAACCCACAAAGGTATCGCAATACCGAACACGTGATGTGATGAGGTCTTCCTGAACCATGACACATGGCCTGGTTTAAGTTACCCACTGTGTCATAGGAAATTATGTTTAACTACATAAGGGGTTCTGATCAAAGGTAGGTGGACTTCCTGATATGTGATCTGGTTGCATTATCAGGAGCCTGTCCCACCGACTCCAGATCAGAACATTGATGGCGACAGCTCGTTGATGGCGACAGCTCGATCCCTGTTCTGGGAGTGAGTACGCTAGCAACACAGAACGGCGGAGCCTGCAGGACGCATATGTGTAAACCACCAGTGTCAAAGCCCACCCCAGGTGCGTTCCTGCAGCAGGAAGGGGTTAAAGTGTAGTTCCACATTTGCAGCCAAACTGGGATAACACCTACTTTATATTTGTTGATATTCACATTCCACTATGGGGCGAGCACATCACAATCTGCCTCTTGTCCAGTCAGAGAGAGATCAGAAGCCACAGCGCCATACAGGACCCAGAAGATCGCTGCCAGCGCTGTAATAATTCTGGCCACTACAGTGCCCCTGTGGGCCGGCCAGGTATGACATATGCATATTTACATTGGGCCAAGCTGAACCAATGCAAGTATGCATAAAACATATACAGGAAGTCCCCTACATATGAACCGTCAAGTTGCGACCTTTCAAAGATGCGAATGTAGATTACGTAAGTTGGTTTACGTGTCTGATGTATATTGTCATATGCGGGTGTCCTTTACAAGTGCGTGTACTTTACTGTACAGTACTGTAAGGCCTCATGCACACTATGTACCAAAATGCTGAGTTCGGGTGCGTTTGGAGCGCATTTCTAAATGTAATGCTTTTCTATGACTGAATGCACACCTGGGCGTCCAGCAGCTTCTAGGTGCCTTCAGTCTAGGTCAGTTTACCCAAAATAGACATTTTTGCATTCCAGGTCCAACTAGCCCAGTTGTATGAGGGTAAACGTGTATAAATGCGACTAAGCCCAGCGCAGAAAAAAGGTGATCTTTGGAACATAAAGTTGTTTCTGCTTACCAGATAACTTCTTTTGGGCTTAAATGCAGCCTGCTAATGTGCATGGGGCCTAAAGAGTACTGTAACACTTGATGCCAGCCCCTGTACTGTACTGCTGTACTTTTCAAGGTACCGTACGATTAAAAATGTTTTCTTTTTGGGGTTTTTATGTATTTGCATGAAAAATATTATAAATGTTTTACAGTACAGTACTACATAGCCAATTGTTTTAGTCGGGTACCCAGGCTAACTTTGTTGGACTTGTGAACAAATTGGACTTACACCCTCTTGGAACGGAACTCGATCGTATGTAGGAGACTTACTGTATCTGGTGTTCAGCTTTAAGAAAAAAAAAATCACTGCTTACCTTTTTTACTTGCTTAACCTCTTGCCTTCCGCCCGTTGTAAAAAAACGGACGGACGGCACTGCAGCATTGGCGGGTTGCCGTCTTTTTCTGCGGGCACGCACGGGCAGGAAAGACCCGACCATTGCACACACCCGTTACCGGGTGTTTCACATATAGGCGATCAGCGGCTCCATAGCCCGCCGATCGTCTATATGTGCTCGTTCACGTCCATGGACCCGGCCCCCGGTGACATTGGGGTCCACAGGTGACATTAGGGGTCCTAGAGACCCCTAATGTCTCCATAAAGAGGACTTGTCAGTGTGCCTTTGCTATTATATATAGTGCAAAAAAATATTTAAAAAAAAAGTTACATATAAAAAAGTAAAAAAAAAAAAATTCACATACAAAAAAAGGGGAAAAAACCCCCCAAAATGTTTAACTCCACCACCCCCACGTTGACGCGCCTATAAACATAAATACGTGTCCGGTGCCCCAGCGCGCAAAAATTACAATTGCGCTACACATGTTACATATCGCCGCGAACGTCGCAGTGAGAGCAATCATTTTAGGGCCATCAATCACTGATAACACTAAACTGATGAGCGGTAA